GCTACTGAAAGAGACATGTGCTGCTGGGAAAGAGACGCAAGAGACACGCGTTGCTGAGTAAGACATGGAAGGACATGCACTGCTGGGAGAGAGACTGTGAGAGACTTGGCTGAGAGACAGCTGGCTGGGAGAGAGACTGAGCGTTTTTCCTGAACTTGAATTGTAGCCTGGTGCTTCCCTAATAAACCCCCTGTGAGTTCTGTGTGGCCACTGCAGCAAATTATCGAACCCAGGAGAGAGGTTGTGGTGCTTTGGGAGGAACAGTTGGTGAAAGGGCTGGAGGGAGGCAGCATGTCTGGCCTTGCAGTAATAGGCCTTGGGCTATTAATGGTGATTCTGCCTTCCTCTTGTGGGGTTCTAGGAGTTCAGAATATGTGGCCTCCTTGTCCTTTTTGCACGCTGTCATCACAGTGAAGGAATTGGAAAAATTTTGCTCCTGTTTTTTGTTTGTTTGTTTGTTTGTTTGTTTGTTTTTACAGGGGAAGGAGCTGTTGACCGCAATGACCCTAACAAGGAAAATACTCTAAGTCAACTCTCAAAGACTGAGATCTCCCTGTCCTTGACAAGCAAGTATGACTTACAGGATGGTGAAGCTATAGACGGCCAAAGCCTCATGATAAAGTAAGTTTGGGACCTAAAGACCACATGCTCCAATTCCACGTCTTAATTCAAAAAAGGCTAAATTCCCAAATAATTGATTTTAACATATTTCAATATTAAAATACATTGTTTGTCCCTCAAACATCTAACCAAAAAAAAAGCTAATAGATTCTTCATGACTTAAGAGAGTACTGAATATTACAATAGTTTATAAAGCTGGTCTTTTTGAGTGCTCCATATAATAGTTTGATTCCTTTCCTTTAAGAGATGAAGTGATTAACTCAGCCTGTAAAAGTCCAGATGTGATTGAATGGAGATTGTGTTTAGAGTGGTCAGAGGTTAATGAGGAAATAATTTGAATCAAGTTTGATTTTGGTATAAAATGATAATGTAAAAGGTACACACATGATAAGATATGATGATATTTCTGATTTATTGGCATTCTTTCCTATTAAACTAACCCTGAGTTTGTTTGGGAGCTCTGGTGACATAGTGCCTAAGGCATTTGACTGCTAACCAGAGGCCTGGCAGTTCAAACCCACCAGCCACTCCTCAGAAGGAAGATTGGGCAGTCTACTTCTGTAGGAATACTGCCTTGGAAACCCAACGAGGGGTAGTTATGAGTAGAATCTGACTCAGTGGCAGTGGGTTTTGGTTTTTGAGTTTGTTTACAGGCTTTGGCTTTATACCCTACATCCTGTCTCAAAAAATTTTAAATGAGGTACTTACACTTTTAATTAATACTGCATTTTTTCCATCAAGACCACATAGAAATTCCCCCATGAGTTCTTTACACACAGATTAAGAAATCCATGATGATGATGATGATGATGTTGTTGTTTTGTTGTTGTTGTTAGTTGCCATCAAGTCAGCTTCAACTCATGGGGACCTTAAGTATAACAGAACTAACGTTGCCAGGTCCTGAGCCATCTCCATGATCGTTGGTGTATCTGAGTCCATTGTTGTGGTTGTGTCAGTCCATCTCACTGATGGTTTCCCTTGGCTGTCTGCTTTACCAACCATGATGTCCTTTTCTAGTGATTGATCTTTCCTGATGAGATGGCCAAAGTAAGCAAGTTGACGCCTCACCATCCTAGCTTCTCAGGAACATTCTGGTTGTATTTCTGTGCAACCAAGATTCACAATGCAACACCATATATCAAAACATCATAAATCAAACACACATGCTTACCAAACAATAAAGAGTTTACAGGAACTCATGTAAACAAAAGGATGCCTATTAAACACATTAGAGCAGTTATATATTGGGAGGAGGTGGAGAATGGAAGTGGGAAATGGGGACAACAGAAAATAAATATGTGTTTAAATGATACATTACTTTCAGGCTACCTCTCCTACATTGTGATGTTTTTATTTGTGACAAGATTTTTCTGTCTTGCCACTGAATGCTTCAGACAAGAGTCATTTCCAGTTGATTTTTCCCAGGTACTCATTCAGTCACCCATGAAAACAGCACAAAGAGCTTACTCTCTGTACTATGTTGTGCTTTGTGCTTCTTCTATTCAGTTTGCTTATTTTGTCCTCAGATCGTCGTAATGCTCCCTCATTCGTCCAGCAAAGGTTCAAGCACCTGCTTTATGTTCAAGACACTAGGCTTGATGCTGGGAAACAGTTACGAGCAAAACAGAAACAGCCCTTACCGTCCAGTGTTTTGAACTCTAGTTGTGGAAAGCAATGCTCAGCTGTAGGACAGAGCCTGAACTGCAGGACAGGTACACATCCTTGGCCTCACAAAGCTGCTGGTGTACTTGCCCTCCAACGGTCCAGGGCAGGGCAACAGAGAAAGGGAGGAAAACCATGAGATCTGTTCCGTGGGTTCCTCTGTTGGTGTTGGTGTTGTTCTTGTTATGTGCTGTCGAGTCACACCCAACTCATAGCAACCCCTCCTTGGGTTTCCAAGGTGGTATCACTATGGAAGTAGATTGCCCAACCTTCCTTCCGAGGAGTGGTTCCAATTATAAAGGTAAATGGAAATACAGATTGTGTGCTTCCACCATGCAGATTAAATTAGGCTAAGTAGCCTATGAGCTCATAAGCTTTATCAATAGAAGTAATGAGAGGAAATTTTTTTATAATTGGTTTTGTCTGTTATTTGAACGTCATTTACTAAATGCAATCGGCTCAAATGTCTGCATTAATGAATGGCAACCAAAATTTGGTTAGTCTAAAATATCAAATAACTGGAATATCATATTCAGATTTATACTAATTTCTGAACATGGGTCTCCATAGTTCTGTGAAGTTTTGGAATTCACATATAAAGTCGAGTATGTTGGGAAGAGAGGTGTCTTAGCCAGGAAAACCTGATACATTTCCCTGTTCACCTGGCCTCAGCCCTTGCATGGGTTTCTCCCAGCTAACCAGTACATGCTGGAAACAAACTCTGTTTACTCCTTTAATCACCATACTAAACAGAGCCAGCCTGTGTTTTTTGTTGTGTTTGTTTTTATTGTGGTAAAATACACATAACATAAAAATGACCATTTAAACCATTTTAAAAGCATATGGTGCATTGGCATTTACTACATTCACAGTGCTGTACAACCATCACCACTATCTAATTCCGTAACATTTTGACCATCCCAAAGGTAAACTGGTAGCCATGTATAGGCTTTTATTGGAATGATGGTTTTCTATTCTTTTTGAAATATACCTAGGAGTGGAATTGCTGAGTCCTATACTAGGAACTCTGGTAGCATAGTGCCTAAGGCACTTGACTGCTAACCAGAAGGCTGGCAGTTTAAACCCACCAGCCACTCCTTGGAAGGAAGGTTGGGCAATCTACTTCCATAGTGATACTGCCTTGAAAACCCAAGGAGGGGTCACTGTGAGTCAGGTCCAACTCAATGGCACATAACAACAACGACAACAACAACATACTAATTCTAGGAGCTCAGGTAGTATAGTGGTCAAAGCGTTAGGCTGCTAACCAAAAGTTTGGAGGTTTGAACCCACCAGCGGTTCCACAGGAGAATGATGAGGCAGTCTGCTTCCGTAAAGATTTACAGCCTTGGAAACCCAGTGGTGAAATTCTACTCTGTCCTATAGTCGCTATGAGTCAGAATTGACTCGATGGCAGTGTGTTTCGTTTGGTTGGTTTTTATATACAAATTCTGGCTTTAATTTATTGAGGAACTCCCAAACTTTCCCACAGTGGTTGCACTAGTTTACATTCCTACTAACAATATATGAGGATTCCAATTTCTCCTCTTCATCCTCAGTGACACTTATTGTCCCATCTTTTTTTTTTAACTCTAGCCATCCTAGTGCATATTAAGTATATCTCATTGTGGTTTTTATTTTCATTTCCCTAGTGGTGCAACAGATAAGCACTTAGCTGCTAACCCAATGGTTGGTGGTTCAAACCCACCCAGTGGCTCTGCAGGCAAAGAACCTGGTAATATACTCCTATAAAGATTATAGCCTAAAAAACCCTATGGGTTCACTATGAATTGAAAATCAATTCGACGGCACCTAACAACAGTAATTACATTAAGCATCTTTTCATATACTTGTTGTGCATTTGTATATCTTCTTTAGAGAAATATCTATTCAGAGCCTTTGCCCATTTTTAAATTAGATTGTTTGTCTTTTGTTGATAAGTTTTAAGAGTTCTTTATGTATTTTGAGTAGCATAGTGCTTAGCTAATCAGAAGGCTGGTGGTTCAAACCTACCAGCCACTCCTCGGAAGGAAAGTTGGGCAATCAACTTGCCAGTGATATCGCCTCAGAAACCCAAGGAGGGTCGCTATGAGTTAGGTCTGACTCCACGGCACATAACAATAACAACAACAGACCCTTACCAGATATATGATTCACAAATATTTTTTCCCATTCTGTGATTTGTCTTTTCACTCACTAGATGATATCCTTTGATGCACAAAAGTTTTTAATATCCACGAAGTCCAGTTTTTTTCCCTTTGGTCATTGTGCTTTTGATGTCATATCTAAGAAACCACTGTCCAGTCAAAGATCATGAGACTTACTCTTCTTCTAAGTGTTTAATAGTATTGGCTTTTACATTGAGATCTGTGATTCATTTTGAATTAATTTTTTTAACATGGTATGAGGAAGAGATCCAGCTTCACTCTTTTTCATGTGGATATCCAGTTATCCAAAACCATTTGTTGAAAAGACTGTCCTTTACCCCACTGAATTGTCTTGACATCCTTACTGAAAATCAGTGGCCATATATATATGGGTTTATATCGGGACTCTATATTCCACTGATCTATATGTCTGTATATATGCCAGCACAATACAGTTTTGATTACTGTAGCTTTGTAGTAAGCTTTGAAATCAATAAATGTAAGTCTTTCTATTTTGTTCTTCTTTTCTCTTAATTCTGGCTGTTTGGGGTCCCTTGCAATTCCATATTAATTTTAGGATCAGCTTTTCAACTGTGCAAAAAAAGACCTTTGGGCCAGTATCTGAATTGATAATTCACTGCTTTCATAGACTTGGCACCTTCAGATCCAACTGTTGGCAATACATTTCACTAAGAAGCCCAGTGATGAATGTAGATAGCAACTTGGAAGAAATGTTGATTAAGGAGTCCTCCCTAAAAGTGGAATTTGGGCATTTCCCAAAATATTAAATAGAATTAGATCCATGATTTAACCAAGCCTTACTTCCTGATACATTATACACCCTCGAAAGGATGTATTTGAAAATCTTGATACTTAAGAGATAATTTCAAAGTGTGGCATTGACACACTTGAAGACCATCTAATCTGCATCTTCATCTTTGAGATCAGGAAACTGAAGTAAGATTATGGGAGGCATGTAACTATTCAGTAATATGCTTTAAGTTGGCATGTCGTATTTCATTGATAGTCCGTTAAAATATATTTTGAAATATTTGTTTGGAAATTGTTAATGGATGACTTTTTCCAAGCTAATATGTCAAATTCTTAAATCAAACTTAAGATTTAGTTCTTAAGACTATTCATTAGAGAACCAAATTTAACTAAAATCCAACAATGCCTTTCAGAAGTTAC